TATATATATTATAATATATTTTTTCCAAATATTTACACGGTGGTCTTAAAATGTAAACATTTTATAATTCCGGTGGAGAAACAGAAACTTTTTTGGTAGGCACCCTAATGTGTATACATACATATATATCAGGGTTGTTGCGAATATTCGCATTCGCATTCGCAACCGCGGAGCTTCCGCATTAATTTTAACATTCGCAATAATCTATGCGGAGCTTTTGCGAATGCGAATGTTGTGCAAGTGCACCGATAAAACGTATATCTGGCAAGCAAAATGACAAATTGTAGCCCATAGTTTTTGCCTGTGGTCGTTGGAGTATTTGTGTAACAAAACTGGTCAAAAGTCATATTTATCAACTTTGATAAACATTTCTTTAAACTTATTATTTCTTAAGCTATATAATCGAGCAGTTATACAAGTTCCCGCTTCTAATTGACCTTTGACGTACGTCAAAGAGAACATAGTCCTTTTAAGAATAAATATTCTTTGATTTCTCTTCTTTAAATACCTGCATTTCTTTCTTTATTATGATTTTTTTTTTGGACCAATCTNCCCATAGTTTTTGCCTGTGGTCGTTGGAGTATTTGTGTAACAAAACTGGTCAAAAGTCATATTTATCAACTTTGATAAACATTTCTTTAAACTTATTATTTCTTAAGCTATATAATCGAGCAGTTATACAAGTTCCCGCTTCTAATTGACCTTTGACGTACGTCAAAGAGAACATAGTCCTTTTAAGAATAAATATTCTTTGATTTCTCTTCTTTAAATACCTGCATTTCTTTCTTTATTATGATTTTTTTTTTGGACCAATCTTAAAAAAACGACTACACATAAAAGAAGAAAGTGTGCTCTGTAATTTTAAACCAAATTGACGTGATTTGCTCTTGATGTTACATATCGTCACCTGTAATGCAAAAAGGCATAAACAAACATCGTCGCTGAAATACAAAAAGTCGTAACTAATAAAAAATTCAAAATTCACTTTTTGATTGATATGATGGATTTCATCGAATTTCAACTCCCACATTGGTTATGGTGTTGTTACGTCTTTTTGCATTTCAGGTGAAGATATATTCGTTTCAATCATTTCAAATGTCGCTCTTTGGGGAATTTTTTTAAGGAAAAATTTTAAAAACAGTAATTTGGTTTACTTGTCGGGCAATATTTTTTCCATAGATAAATGTGTACATTGGATCCTTGCCTAAAGGCCTCTGTGGTAAAACTCTCCCCTACGTCGCCCTTCTTTGCTATTTAAAGTGAAAGATTAAGCTCCTACAATAGGGATTTCCAGCAGAAATCTTCAACATTTAGCTATAAAGACAATCTATGCTGAAATATTTAAAAAGTTATAGGTCCGACCTTTAATTAGGTAAGAATTACGTAACTATCAGAAACCCTCATCATTCGTGATTCCAATAATTGAAATGATTATAAAAAAAGGGGTTGCTTTAAAAAAAAAAAAAAATAACAATATTCTGATCCGATTCGGCTGTCAGCCAGGATCTTAAAAACAGAATTTTGTTCAAAATTTTCATTCCTGGAAAATAATCATATATTTTCCATATACACCTATCTAGCTCGCTATAAGCACAAATTCTTCAAACCAGTCGCAGAAGACCCATTATAAATGAATTATAATAGTATAATAACAGATTGGCGCTTACACATATGTATGTTAGTATTTGGCCGAGCTTCTCCTGCGATTTGTGGCGTGCGCGGTGATGTTGTCACACAAAGCGGAGGGACCTACAGTTTTACGCCGAATCTGAACGGCGATTGTATTTTTATGAAAAGTTGTTTTTCATGGCAGAAATACACTTGGAGGTTTGCCATTGCCTGCCGAGGGACGACCGCTGTTAAGAAAAAACCTTTTTTCTATATTTTTCCCGATGTTGCTTTGACCAGGGCTTGAACCCAGGGGGTGGGGAGTGGAAGCGCGCACTGCTTACCACTACACCACAGCGGCCGATAAATGAATTACAAAAACTAAAATCGAAAAACGCTGATGACGTTACAAGTTCCCCAAATTCTGAAGCTGCATCCGCATTCGCATCCGCGCATGTCTAAAATTTCACATTCGCAACATCCCTAATATGTGTGTATATCGCATCAGCATACATGCGAGTACATATGTAGTACATGTGTGCATTGTTATGACCAGACACAATTATAGAGGGCAGCATTACTTACTGTCATTCGTTAGCCGAGAGGAATATTAGTTGCAGAAAAAGTAGCTTCGAACGTACAGCTGAAAGCGCAAAACAGCCAATAGCTGACAAACAGAGAATGACTGACAAATTTCCAGTGCAACCATGAAGCGAGTCGTTTTAAAAAGACCTACGCAAAGAGAAGTGAAATAATAAAAAAATCGAGTTTTTGGCAACAGTGTGCCTTTTGGTTTTTGTCACATTTAAGTAAGACAAATTATTTTTTACGCCAAACCTTTGGAGCGAGCAGGTGCCCGGTGACATCACACATATCGCTCATTTATTTCGCAAGTGTCATAACTAGAAAAATGCAAAACTCGAGATAAACTGCTGTAAAGTTGTAAATTTACATATATGTACTCCCAAAGGAAAAATGAATTACTATATTATAATTTCTGAATTTTTTGAATTATGATATTGTTGAAGTTAATTAGCGATGTGTATGTGGTTGGTGGCCGTGATGTACCCACGCTAGTAACATCTCAAAGTAAGAACAGAAAAGGGTTCAAAAATATATCTATGTATGTATGTATGTATAGTGAACACATTTTTATAGATATACATTAATGTGTATGTATGTATGTGTGCGGTTTACGCCACGTTAGTAAAATGTCGACTTTTTCGTCACACATGCTTTTATATACATACATATATTTATGATATTTTCTCTGGTTTAATTTCTTAATGCCCGAAAAGTAGCCAATGTTGCCACCGTCTGTTTCCTTCTATATGCTAGGAACACAAAAATTTATACATATAATCCAGATGAATTATTTTCTGAGTTTCGCGAAAAGCTAGAAAATTATGTGTTATTATTATTATTAATTTGTATGGCCAAATATGTATCCTTAGATGTCTGATGACCGGAAATTTATTCAAAATTCATAGTACAAAACACCTCAGTGAATTCATTTAACTTTTAAAGAGAATTCCGCTTGAATTAAATACCTTTGATTTTCTACAAAATCATTAAACGCTAAAAAATGTGATGATAAAATACTCTTTAAAAAACTATTGGCAGAATATGCAATGCAGATGAAATTTTACACATTTTCCTACCTTAGTTTATAAAAAAAAAATTTGTTTAGGATATATTAAATTTTTTTGTCTGTGTCTTTTGATTTGTCATCTTTGTTATCTTTGAATCTAAAATAAAATGAAACACTCTTTTTTGGCACCAAAAAGTTAACAATGGTTTACCATACCACTAGTTTAATGCCTGATTTAATATTTACTAGAAGTGCCAGTTACTGTCGAAATTCGACCGTTTTTTCTATTTTTTTTAGGACCCTAGGGGGGGTTTTTTAACTAAGCACGTCGATTAACTTTTAAGGTACAAAATTACTTACCGGAAAATCTCCTGCTTTGGAACTGAAACCGGACGACAATTTTTTATATCTTTGAAGGTCTTTGGCAGTACTTGGAATTGACCCGATACATTCCAGTTTTGCGATAAATTTCAGTGATTTGATACATATCTATAGTTCAATGAATTTCAAAAATACTAAAATCCAATAACTCAATAAAACTCGATAGCTCGACTAATTTTTATAAATTTCGCTAACTAAAATCGGATAACTCAACAAAACTCGATAACTCAACTAATTTTTATAAATTTCGATAACTGTGGGTTTCGGGCGATCGACATATTTCGATAACTCAAAAATGTATATATCTCCATATAAATCGATAACTCAATAAACTTTGGATACGTCTATAAATTTCGATAACTCCTTTATTTTAATGGGTTCATATTTTTCGAAAGCTATCGACAAGTCTCGATAACTTGTTTCACTCTGGTAACACAATAAAGTTCGATAAGCAGTCATAACTCTATAAACTTATAAAACCTTGAAATTTCGATAACTCGATATATTTTGAAAATTTGAAAAACTTCGATTCGATCGTTCGACGAATTTCAGTTAATCAATAAATATTGATAGCTCGAGAAGTTTAAAGAACTGTGTGCTTCATGATAACTCGATTAATTTCGTTAACTCTATATTTAATGATGATGCAATAAATATCCATAACTTAATAAATTTCATTAACTTGACAAATTTCAATAATCGCACAAATTTTTATAGCTAGATGACTATCCGTAAATTTCAAGAACTAATTTTCTGTTTCGATAAATTTCGGCAACTCAGTAAAAATTTATCAATTTCAATAATTCGATATGTTGCGATAACTCAATAAACATGCATAACTCGATAAATTTCGATAACTATAAACTTCGGTGATTCGATAAATTTCGGTAGTTTGTTAGTTTTCGACAAAGAAATTTTTATGACTGAATTTATTTCAATTCCTATCGAAAAATTCAATAAATTTTCTACCCCTGCAGTTACCCTAATTCTAATATATTTTTCATTGCTTTAATTTCTGTTTTTGTCTGAAATCTTTTTTGTTTTGATCGTTATCATTTATTTCTTCATCTTCACATTTATCGTTGTTACAGAGTTGCATTTCAAATAATGAGTAGCACAAAATACGAAAACTATACAAATTGAACAGGTTGCAACAACAACTTTACACGATAATCCTCATCTACAGAAAAATACCTTTCCAATGGTGTTCATGGTTTTGAAAACGGTACGGTTCAATCGCCAAACGAAGGCGGACAAAATTTATGTTAGCGTATTAATATATAGATAGTTAGTCGAAAATGTGTGTATATTTGCTTATTAAAGTACACCCGCTAGGTAAATAAGTATGCGAATGTACGCTTAATAACTTTCATTAACATTAAATACAAAAAACGCCACACTTTACAAAAAACGCACTCACCTGAAAGACAGCCCAGAATTTATAGGAACCCTCGGTGATGACAAAATCATAGTAACCCTTCAACGGATCGCCTTTGATGTATCGACCTTCGCCCACATCTGTCGATTTCGTCGCATCACTTGCCTCAGACATTTGACGTTTCTCACGCTTACCCTGAGCATTTTGTCGCGCCACCGCATCACCTTTTGTGCCCACTTTTTTTTTGCCCGCACCGCCACTGCTGCTGCTGCTGCTGCTGCTGCTGCTGGCAACCGGCTCTTCCACTTCACTGCTCATCACTACCGCCAATTCGGTTGTCGTAGTGCTTTTTGTTGTTGTGGTGGTTTTAGGATTCTTAGTCGCTTTGTTATTGGGCCTAACTAGCTTTGCGGCCGTTGTGGCAGCACCAGCACCCTTCACTAAAGCGCCACCACCATTATCAGCGTTTTTGTTGCTGTTGCTGTTGCTGCTGCTATTCCTTTGTGCAAATTTGTCCTTCGCTTCGAATTTGGGCGGTTTTTTCGAATTGATACGCATTTGCTGTGCGGCGATTTGCTGTTGACGACGTTTCGCTGCCTCTTGCTGTTGTTGCTCTTGTTTTTGTCGATGTGTCGCGAGCACATTCCAGGCGGCAGCGAATGCTTGGTAAATGTCCCACATGATTTTGAGGCTTTTCAGCGTAGAGAGTAGTGTATTCTCCGTGGGGGCGGTGGAGGTGTCGACTGATGGGCGGTTCTGCGTGTCGGCCCCTTGGACCGCCTGCTGTTGCTGTTGTGTTGTGGTCTGTTGTGGGCGGCTTTGCGGTTGTTTTTCTTGTTGTTGCTGTTTCTGTTGCTGGAGTAGCTGCCGTTGCTGCAACTGTTGTTGATATTGTTGCTTTTGTAGTGCTGTTGGCGCACCAGGATACTCGTAATCATCCAATGGACCATCGGTATCATAAGCGGCATAGGGATCACTGGAAAATGAAGAAAGGATATGTCTGTATGTAGGTTTGTTTACACTCAGCCTTTAAATAACGGGTGATTTTTTTGAGGTTAGGATTTTCATGCATTAGTATTTGACAGATCACGTGGGATTTCAGACATGGTGTCAAAGAGAAAGATGCTCAGTATGCTTTGACATTTCATCATGAATAGACTTACTAACGAGCAACGCTTGCAAATCATTGAATTTTATTACCAAAATCAGTGTTCGGTTCGCTTTACGTCCGATTTATGGTCTACATAATCGACCAAGTGAGCAAACAATTAATGCGATTGTGACCAAGTTTCGCACTCAGTTTACTTTATTGGACATTAAACCAACCACACGAATGCGTACAGTGCGTACAGAAGAGAATATTGCGTCTGTTTCTGAGAGTGTTGCTGAAGACCGTGAAATGTCGATTCGTCGCCGTTCGCAGCAATTGGGTTTGCGAAACACATTTCGAACCGAACACTGATTTTGGTAATAAAATTCAATGATTTGCAAGCGTTGCTCGTTAGTAAGTCTATTCATGATGAAATGTCAAAGCATACTGAGCATCTTTCTCTTTGACACCATGTCTGAAATCCCACGTGATCTGTCAAATACTAATGCATGAAAATCCTAACCTCAAAAAAATCACCCGTTATATTTTAGCTTAGTCAACCAATAAGGAATGATTTAAATTCAAGACTCTATGCTTAAGCTGAGTGCAGAGCACTGGAAGGCATAGACGTACATATTTTAGTATATTTTTTTTTACGTAGTTCTAGTTCGAAACTATTTTCAAAAGGGCTGAAAGGAATGTACGTGTCTGTTTTAAAAATTTAAAAACCAACCAACCTAAATGCGTTTTGGGTTCGAAAGGGAAATAGTCTCAAATATTATCCAACCGATTCCTCCAAATTCGTTAACAAAGCAATTGTTTCAGCAGGCGATTCAAGAGCTACCATAAGGTTTCTTTTAATCTACCAAGCTGAATGTTCATAGCTGCTAGGTAAGCAACGTTAGATGATCACATCGACTACTTTGCGCGAAATTACCGTATGTGGCAGAAACGAAATTTCCTTGTTTCAAACGTTTTTAGACTTTTTTCTGTTTTATATGGTTTTTTAACCGACTTCACAAAAAGGAGAAGGTTATCAATTCGTCGGAATATTTTTTATATTTTTTTTATGTATATTACCGCATAACTTTGGACCACGTTAACCGATTTCAATTTCTTTATTTAAAGGAAAGGTGTTATACTCATATGGGTGGTGGTCCCATACTAATTTGCTTTGGTGTATGAGAATTAAATTCGGTTTTGTTTTTTTTTTTTTGCTTAAAAATTACTTGTACCAAACGATACATACGACAATATCGCCCACAAGAAAAAAATCATTGTTACATACAATAAAATGTACACAAAATTTTTAGCGTAACAATAGGGATTTCAGCTGCAACATTGTATCAGGGAAGCGTTGTAGGGAGTAGAATATATTTGCATCAAAAAGTCAATTTCGAAAAAAATACGCATACGCTAATTACACCCAATGGGGTCGTTATATAGTATTTAGAGGCCAAAACTTAACTCAGAATACCCAAGTAATTCTTCCGAATTGCCTAAGGAAGGTCAAACCTACCTAAATAACAAAATAATTTTGATCTGCACCGGAAAATGTGTGCCCTGATATCACCACGAGTTTTGTTCAGCTCATTAATTGTCACTAAAAAAATATGTATTCACTCATAAAACCAAACTTTGTACTTCGCAGTAAATATCTCAGTTTTTTTTACTTCGGTTAGCTTTCCATGCAACACTTTTTGCTCAGTCACACTTTCGGACTGCTCTCATCTGCAAGCCAGACAGAACGAATATTCTTTAGAACCATTTATTCTGTCATTTTCTTGTTGTTATTATTGTTGTGATAGTCCCTCAAACGTTGGCGTCAAGCTCAACCAACGGTAAGCCCAGGAAAATTGCTGTTTCGATGGGCTAGGACCAGACATCGTGTAGAGAAGTGGTTGGTGTCGTGGTACTCTTACGATGAGGATGCAAGTTCCACCTAGAGCAACAGTCTTTTCGCATGCTCACGTCTGTAGCACTCTACCAGGTACTGCTTGCGGCGCATGATGTTGTGCTCCCTTACTGACAGCATTTGGGCCTCACTATGTAGGTGATGATCTGTTGACGGTATCAGAAGGCATCCCGTGGTTTCGTCCACTGCGTTCTATGCGTTCTACTTGCCAACGGCGACCACACGGACTTTTTCTTTGCCCCAAGTGCTGACGGCGAACAATTTGAGGACTTTGTTGCGGCTCTATACTCTTTGGCAATTACGGCTGTGTGTTCTAAGAAATAGAGCACGCTTTCGCAGTTTCCTCGGAGGATTTTTGGGCATTGATTCGCCGCCGTCGTGAATGCCCAGTATTAGACTGACTTCCTTTCGGTTCTTACCCCTTACACCACTCAGTTTTCATAACTGCCTTAACGAAATCGAATGGCATATTCTTCTTGTTTAAACCGCTCTGCAAGTTCTCGTTTTTATAAATTCTGGGGTTGCCTCCACCAGCGCTCAAAACATAAATTCCGTCTCTATAAAAAGCCCCATTTGATTTAAATGATACCTTGCAGCAGTGGCGTAGCCAGGGGAGGGTATTGGGTGGATAGATCCCCCCCTTCGCCAACAAAGCACTATTTTTTTACTTTCGATTTAATAACACAATACCATTTTATTCTTCTGATTTGTATTTTTTTTATTTCAGACTAATGGCAAATTAATTATTATAAATATTTGAGATTATCGGTTATTGGATTGTGAATGTAAATATTGAGCTCCGAAAAGCCTATTTAAGACCGTCTGAAAAGCCAAGTGTATTTTCGCACGTTGGGTCGGTCTCCGGTTTCGTGCTAAAAATCTACACATTGGTCTACCAGAAATACAAGAGAGTTTAAAGTAATAGTAAATAGAGAGTAATAAACACAATTTTCTCGGTCTGAAATTGCTGTTGTAAAATTCCACTCCCTTTTCTCTCCCGTCCATAAAGAGTCGGAAGGTATGACTGAAGAGCATTCATGATATTTATTAAGACAAATCAAGAATGATATAATGTATTCTCTCCACCGTGAAGACAAACCCTACTTTGAAAAGAGAATACGCAATTTCTTTGAAACCTAAAATTTATAGAAGGACATCTATAACTTTGCTTGAAGAAATTTTGTAGAGGTCTAAAAGTTTAAATTTGTATTGTAGAGGATTTGCACTAATCACGAAATGGAAGGGAAAACCGTATAAAAGAAGAGGCTTTTAAAAATAGGTATATGTATATATGTATGTAGAGCGTGAAAAAGGCCTTTTAGAATAGATGCCCTTAATTTAGAGCTTTATAAAACCCTTGTAAGAGCACAGTCTACGAGCAAAGCCTTATAAAACCTATTGTCCTTCTCACTGAGACAAAAAATATATAACGGTAAAAATGTCTCATATATGTATGAAAGAATACACACGGGCGACGCCTCTAGCTATTGTGGTTCTCACCTTAAAGTTATCGCAGATTTTTTTTTAATTTTTTTAATTTTAATTATCTTTGCCTTCCGCCAGTGGGCAGCAATCTGCCTGACTATCCGACACAATATTTATTCTGGCCCTATTTGTCATTCTACGAAGACATTCGCGAACACAGACATCGATTTCAAAGACGACCACCTGGAATATGGCTGGGCTCCAGCCCATTAGCAGACTTTTTTGGAATCTTAGTCCAAGTACGCCATAAAGTATACATATGTATATGGTTGTCATCTTGTATATTGGCAATAGTAAGGATATACGTTTGTCCTTACGAATGAGAGGGTCAATTCTCGTTCTGCATTATTGTGAAGTGATAAAAAATAACACTTTCACACCGTACTTATTTCGGTGTGAATTTTTGACTACTCACTTCACTTTACGATAACGCAGAACGGGAATTGACCCCCACATACATATATTTACATGTTTTGCGATCGCCGTTACATGAACGCGCCGGGGAAATATTTGTGTAAACAAGGTTGCCAAAATGTTTGGAGATACATATTTTCTATTTTTCGCAAACAACTATTATTCATGGTTAGGTAACCTACCAAAATCCAATTTAGCCAACCAACCTACCAAATGGAAAAAAGAAACTTACCAGTTTTGGTAGGAAAAGCCCATAAGTGGCAACACTGCAACTATAAGCGCAATTTTTCAATAATTTTACTTCCATATTATTAACGAGATGAAATATTTTACCGACTGACATATTTTGAAACCTGCGCACGAAAAGTTACTCATACGCACCGTCATACACAAACGAAAATTATTTTCAAAAGCGCGCACTCACCACGTCAAAGAGCGGAATAGCAAAAATAAGCCAACATTTTTAAACAAACAGCACTACAAATGACTTCCAAACCAAAAATAGCCAAAAGTGCTTGCAACACAAATTAAATGAAGTTTGTGCATTGCGCGCGTTAGGTATGCGCAGCTTACAATTTGCAAAATTTGCTCGATAAATGTTTTTTGCCTACTTATAGTTGACGCTATATATATATATTTTTTTTTTTAATATTTCCATCTTTTGTGAACCGATGATGCTGATGTTGATGTTGTGCTTACGTTTAGCACGATGAACAAACAGCATTGCAAATATTTACGCCAACACAAGCAGCAATCATTAACCGCACCGTTACGCAGCAGAAGAACTGATGAACATATATACCTACAAACATATACACATATGTATGCATGCGCGCAGGCGAACGCAAGGACACAAGCATGCTTTAAATAGCTGCCATCTAACTACAAAGCGTGCGGCAAACGAGCATCAGTCACGCGCAACGCCTCCACCAATCAATGGCGGTGCACATACGCACAAGCGCATACATATATGTATGTATGCAGTTATACGCCAGTCGCTGCTATTTGCAAGTTGTAGCATCCACAAAATTCTACAACTAAATCAACGTTTGCCGCAACCATCGCCACCGGC